AATTCCTCTAATCATCTAACCCCATGCCTCTGTCTCTTGGATGTGCCTCTATCTCCTGGGTGTGCTTCTATCTCCTGGGTGTGCCACTATTGCCTCACTGCCCCAGCTCGTTCCACTTGGATCTTAGATTTGCCTCATATCTGATTGTGTATTACCCTGACCAACCTGCCATGTCCTCACTCCTTTTCTGCCTGAGCCCATCCATTCTCATGGCTTCAGTTATCGTTTCTACATGGATGACTACAGGTTGATATCACTAACCAAGACCTCTCACTGAAAGCCAGAATAACATTTCTAGCTGCCATCTGGCCACCTCAACATGGATGCCACACCAAGAAACTCAACACATCCAAAACTAACTTTATTATATTTTCTGCCAAACCTATTTCTCCTCTTGTATTTCCCATTTCACTTTGTTGCCCCAGATCAGATCGTTACAGTAGAAGCTCTGTTAGTCAACCCCCAGTTTGTCAAAGCACCTCATTAACAACCCTCTCCAGTCGTCTTTCACACTCATCACTGGAGCCTAGTAGACTGTTGGTACAGTGAACTTTCCTGGTCCCACCAGTTTAGTTGAATGCCTGCCAACAAACAGTTGTATTTTGTTTGCAAGCCAGTCAATGCAGTTGTACTTTTTATTATGTTACAAAATTTAATTAAATACTATACACAATAATGAAATACAAGTATGAAAGAGAGCTGGCTGTTCCTATGAAAACTAAGTTGAATACTTTGGAAAGAGTTGATGAGAGTGAGTGACTGAAAATGTTACAATCCAAATAAGTATGAGAAAGGTGAACTAAAAATGATTGGGAAAAACTTGTAAAAATTTCTTTAATATTCTGCACTCTGATTGCCTTTTGCTGCAATTTAAAGAAACAGAAACAGAAACACGGTGTGGCTCATGCAAGAAAAATGATACAAAACTCCAATTAGTAGACCTATATACAAAGGAAAGGCCTTGGCGCTCTGTTATACAATTGCTGGATGAATGTACCCATACATGTCTTAAGTTAAAATATAATATCTAAGGTAACTGTATCTGCCTTTTTTATTCTCTGCTTTAATAACTTACACAAATGACTGACAAAATTCAGTGCCTGACATTGAATGAGAGACCTTCTAACTCATCTCCCATTATCTTCCAAACAATAACAGTACCTTTTCTCTCACCTCCTAGTCTTCAGGCGTCATTTCTCCATTCAGTTAACAAATACTTTTTAGGAGCTTACTAATTACCAGATTTACCTTCTTAAAACTCAGATCTAAGCCTCTGCCTCCTCTGCTCACAATAACTCAACGGCTTTCCATTATCTACAGAATGAAGCCAAAAGTGCTTAGCAGAATGTTAAAGGCCTGCCATGCTCTGACTCCCAGCCACCTTTTCAGCTTCAGCTTCCTAACACAGCTCTCCATATCCTCGAAAGATCAGTCACCCACACCCTGGTTGTTGCCCAAACACAGGACACTTTTCAGCATTCATTCAGAGAGGGCCTGAGGCGAACTCTAAATTCATCTCTCTCATAATTTTACTCATTATTGAAAATAGTAGTTTATGGTGGGAAGTGTGTTGTTCACAGAAATTATATACTACAGAAAACGCTAAAAGCATCTGAATAAGTTTTACTGAATAAATTTCAAGTTGTAAAGTCAAGAGTATTGCATAACACATAGTCTGAGGGTGGAGGTGGGGAGTGTTAACTTGTCTTTAATGATCGGAAGTTTAGATTTCTCGACACTCAAGACAATTTAGTAAAGGTTTAAAAGTCTGCATAGACATGATAACTTGATGGCCCTTATCCAGTTGTCCGACCAGGAAAAGTACCTAGTTCCTGGGTGACAAATGTCAGTGGACTGTTGTATCATTACTATTCTCAGTTGTCTCTGCCTCTCATTCACTTTCTTTCCCTGGGAGGTCTTACTCCTGTGGACTGTCTTAGCCGCCACTACTGCAGAGAAATCTCAATGTCCATCTCAGCCAGAGCACCTCCGTCAGTTCCACTCTTCTCTGTTCAATTGCTTTTGCGTATTTTCACTTGGCAAAGCACCATCCAACATACCAGAGTTTAAAATGGAACTTCTCCAGCAAACACCTTCCTCTGCTTTCCGTCTGTGCCACCACTATCTCCAAGGTTTTGGAGTTATCCGCAGCTCTCGGGGGTCTGCTTTGCTCTTTGTTCTCCCCAGGCTACAACTAGTTGCCAATTATTTCCTCCTATAAAGACTGATGGTCTAACAGCTTTGGAAACTATAAGAGTACTTGCCCTTCACCATCAAACCTCTTGCAATATTTGTCTACATTCACTGTATTCACATTATTGCCTCCTGTTCGCTTCTCAACCCAGTGTAATATGGCTTCTGTCCCTAAACTGTTACTGAAGCTGTTCTCATCAAGGTCATGAATTACTGCCTTGGTGCTAAATTTAATAGACATGTCTCAGTTATCAACCTAACTTCTTATAGACTTTGATATCTAGACAACTCCTACTTGAAATGAATTCTTCCCTCAGCCGCTGTCACAGCTTTCTGTCTCTCAGGCTGCTTTATTATAATATTCTTTTTTTTTTTTTTCTGCTTTATCTCCCCAAACTCCCCTGTACATAGTTGTATATCTTAGTTGTGGGTCCTTCTAGTTGTGTTATGTGGGACTCCACCTCAACGTGACCTGTCGAGCAGTGCTATGTCCGCACCCAGGATTCGAACCCTGGGCCGCTGCAGCGGAGCACGCGAACTTAACCACTCGGCCACAGGGCCGGCCCCTATACTATTCTTTTTAAGCTCCTTTCTTCTGCCCTTTTAAAAACTGTGTCTGTTCGTCAGAGTCCCGAGTCTTCCAGTCTCCTCCCTCTACACATTCCTCTAAGCAATCTCATCAATTTCCACGGCTTTAATTACCACCTCTGCCCATGATCACTAGCTCTGTGTCTCCAGCCCAGTTATTCACCTGAGCTCTGAAGATGCGCATATGTAACTACCTCTGGACGTGTCCTCTTGGATATTGCACAGACGCATCGACTTCAATCTGCCTGAAACTGATTTTACAAAAATGCGAAAATACTCCTCCTACTTGCTTAGCGAATGGTACCATTGACTATCCAGTTGCTCACGGCTAAAATTACAGCTATCAGTCTCGACTTCTCCTTTTTCATCCTTATTCTCCAATCAATATCAAAGCTCTGTCAGCTCTACTTTTGAAATTTTTCTAAAATCCATGCACTTTCTCCATCCCTTCTGCACTATATGGTTCAACTCACGATAATATCTCCTATCGATTTCTGCAACAGTCTTCTAAGTGGGCCTCCTGCCTCCATGCCATCCCTTCTCTGATCAGTTTTTCAGGCTACAGCAAAATTCCTTTTTCTAAACATACGGATTTAATCACATCACCTCCCAACGTTCCTGCCAATGTCTCTACACTGCCCTCAGCATTAATTCTAATCTCCTTCACACGGTTTAAGGGCCCTTTGTGATCAACCCCACTTGCCCCTGAGCCCCGTCTTTGCCACCCTCTCACATTCTCTGGTGCTTCTTTAAGTTCCCAGACTGCACCAATTCTCTGCCTGTGGACTCTGGCCATCCTTGGAAATCTTCTCCCCTCTAATCAGGCTCTCCTCTCCGCTTATGACCTCTGCACACCCTTCCCCCTTGCAATGTATTCATCCAGCATACTTTTTGAACACTTACCATGCACCAGGCATTATTCCAGGTGCTAAGATCACAGTAGGGAGCAAAGTGGGCATGTTGTCCTGAACCCATGAGGCTCAGAGTCTACTGGACAGACAGACAAGCAAACTTAGGCCATTGAAGACCTTTGCGATGAAAGGGGACACTGGGAGCTCCAAGATCCCAGAGGAGGGCATCACTCAGGCTGGGAGCAGGAGGCTCCCTAAGGGCCATGTTATTTAGAGTGTTAGAACTGAGACGAAGCAGTAGAAAGGTAAGAAGCCAGGCAGTTTAAGAAAGACCTCAGAATCTTATCTTCTCTCTTTCTTATCTCTTCTGCTTTTTCTTTTACCTTCTCATTCTTCTTAATTCTTGTCCTTCTCTTTATCTCACTACCTCTGTTCTTTAAATAAGCCCTTTGATTGGTTCTTACTGTACCCCTACAAGTTAACTATTCTCTTCCTTCACTGTGGCATCCATTTTCATACAGGCCCTCTCAGCTCTTCAGCAAACCCGCCAGCTCCCTTTCCTCAAGTCTCTCCTCAAGGTGAAAATGAAGAAATCTCATCGTCCATCTCTTGGACAAAGCTATCAACTAACTCGTAGCTGACTAAGGTCGTGCCCAAATGTTCCTTTTTTATCCTTCTCCTGTACACATTTCCGATTGTCCATTTTTCTGTTCTTATTTTCCAATGGCCCATAATGGCAAATTGTCTATGAGAAACAGACAACCTGTGATCTCCCCTCATTGTCCAAAATAGTACTTCACCGATCAGCTTTAAGAAGTCTTTCCTCATAGCTTTGAGATTCCTGTCAGACCGCAGGCTTTCCAGAAGAGTATGGTGGTAAGATTTCTAGACTTTCTGCAGCTTTATTCTAGGCCATGGCAATGCCTCTTACATACAGTAAAAATTAATAATCCGCTAACCCTACTCCGCAAATCTCTCAACTTTCTACTTTCAGAGGGCCACAACATGTTAAAAAAATTTAGCTCACTTGGGGCTTGGTATTTTACATAGACCTCCCATTCAAGAAGTTGTCGCAATGTTACAAGGTTTCTACCAGATGAGAAATCTCCTAGGATAAATTTGCAATCACCCCCCCATCTCCTATCTTCCCCGGGGTAAAAGAGAGGGTGGCCTTACCCATGATTGGTCAGTGGCTGCAGGTGACTGCCTTGCATCAGGAAGGTCATTCTTTTCCTCACTCACTACAGCCTGAAGATTTGGCAGCAGCGCTGGTGCTTACACATAAAAGGAAGCTAATTTCTTCATTTCATTCTTTTGTTGGAACATTTTCCTACCTACTTACAAATAATCTTCCCTTTCCTTTAACAGCTCCTCTCTGAAGAGACCAACAATAGCACATTCATCAGAAGAGCTGAGGTGGAGCCGCGGAGGAGACAACGGAAGGCTGGGCCCCGGGGGGCCAGGCTAGAGGTCAGTGTCCAGGCTCTGGGTGATTGGCTTCCTAGTATTTCGAAAGGGAGCTCTTAACAGAGGCAGATGGAGACTTTCATTTAATTCCTTGTATGTGAAAAATATATATTTATATATACATATGTAATTGGTTTCCCCATAAAGGCAGTCATGTTTCTAGAACAATGGCTTCATTCAGGGCTTCCGAGAGTCATTAATGCCAGTTCTTTGGGGGACTTTATGAGCAATCATTTTCTTGCTCTGAAGCAAAAGAATAATCAGAACACAAGGCTGACTTTTTCAATTTTGTTTTGGGGAAGAAAAAAAAAAGATGGCACCTGAGTGCTTTAATCCTGGGCACCTTTGTGATGACACTGGACACGGGCACTGTGTTTTCACAGAGAACTTAACTGGTGGATAAAGACAATCATAGAAAGGGCAGTTAAACCAGGAGGTAGATGCTTGTACATACCATCTGGCAACTCTTGATAATAATACAAAATAGCTGGAAATGTTTTAAAAGGCTCACTCATCCTCAAAAAGATTCTATGCTTATTGTTCTTTAACATTCCCAGGATACATTTGGAAATTTAAGAGCGGAGCTGCCATATATGGGATCTGATCAGAGGGTGAGTGGGAGTGAGTAAGGCCAAAATCAGGCTGGTGCTCTGACCACAAAGCCGTATACCCTGGCTCCCTCTAATTCTCTGTTTAAGAGATTGAATACTAGAAAATTTACAAATAATCTAAGTATTCAATAATAAGGCACTGGTTAAGTAATACACATAGAATCATTGAGTGAAACCATTAAAATGGCAGTATATATGTATATAACTAAAGGAAAACAAAGGTTACAAAAATAGAATATAATACATAACATCATTTTTGTGAAAGAAATATATGTAAATACACAAAAATACAAATATATACCATATATGTATATGTATATACACACACATTCTATCTGTCTGTCTATCTATCTATTCAGGGAAAAAAATTGGAAGAATAAACACCAAAATGCTGACTTCGGTTATCTCTGCCTGATTAAGTTTTGGAGTGACTTGACTCTTCTTTTCCTCCTCACAAAAGTGTACTGACTTCATTGTGTGTGTAATGGTTATTTTTTTGTATAATAACAAAATGTTAAAACCCTAAATAGTGGATTGAGGCTTAAAAAATAACAACTAATAATAGTTATTTAAAAATATCTGTGAACTAGAAAGTTGAAATAGCATTTAAAACCATCTGGGCAGGTTAAAAAGAAAGCCTAAACAGTCTGAGGACAAAACATTATTCACTGTTTGGTTTGGCCAGTTTTCCAACTGTATTAACTATGACTTTATGACAACATCTTCACGAGCCAAAAATAGGTGTTAAAGTGAATCATCAATTTAGTAAGTAATTATAAAGTAATCCCACCTCTGATATTGATTGCGTTTAACAATCTCATTCGGAAGAGTAATACTATATTCCCTTTACTCTTTGTGATTTGTTACTGCAATGCTCAAAGAGATACTGTATGTAAAGGAATTATGCCTTTGGGACTCTGCATTAGTTTTATTAGGGAAAGGTGTGTTTAGATACGGCTTTCATTCCCTGACTTCTCCCTTTGGAAGAATTACATTCTGGTTAATCCTTGAGACAAGAGGTTGAGGCTAATATTTATCAACACTTATTAGCGTATCTATCAGGCGTTGTACTGGTACGTTTAACATTCACACCAATCCTGTAAGACAGGTATTTACCATTGAAGAGACTGAGGCTCAGAGAAATTTCCTAACTTCTCTGTGGTCACATAGCCAGTAAAGTGGTGGTACCAAGCTTCATACGCAAGTCTTTCTGACCCCAAAGACTCTACTCTCTCCAATGAAGCCACAGTTGTAACATTCTATGGTGGTAGACTGTATTGTGTTTTGAAATTATTCAATCTCCCCTTTTCTATAAGAAGATTATACATCCTGTCCCATTGCCTTTGGGTGTAGCCATGTGACCTGCTTTGGACATTGCAGTGTAAGCAGATGTGATGAACACTACATCCTTTAGGAGGCATTATGGGTTTTTGTCAGTTGACTTACTCTTTCCGCTCTGCCATATGAATGTCTCAAATAGGGAAGCTCCTTCAACATGGGTCCCAGAATGTGAAGACATGTGGAGCAGAGTGGAGTAGAGTCTCACCAGCTGCCACCCCAAAGCTGCCAACATGTGAACAAGTGTGCATTCATTTTCTATTGCTGCATAACAAATTAACACAGATTTAGCAGTTTAAAACCACAAATTTATTATCTCACAGTTTCTGTAGGTCAGATGTCTGGGCATGGCACTATGAGATACCTGCTTAGGGTCTCACTGGGCTGAAACCAAGGTGCCAGCTGCTTTTCTCATTTGAGCTTAAGGGTTCTCTTCTGAGCTCACTGGTCATTGGCAGAATTTATTTCCTTGTGGTTGTAGGACTGAGCTCCTTTTTCTTGCTGGCTGTGGGCCAGGGGTTGCTCTTAGTTGCTAGAGGCTGTTTCAGGTCTTTTCAGTGTGGCCCCTTCCATCTTCAAGCCAGCAATGGCACATTGAATCTCCCCAGCAAATCTCTGATCACCAGCTGGAGAAAATTCTGCTTTTAAAGGGTTTATGTGATTTGGTTAGGTCTACCCAGATAATCTCCTGACCTTAAAGTCAACTGATTAATAAACTTAATTACATCTGCCAAATGCCTTTGCCATGTGATGTAACATAATCAGGGGAGTAACACCAAGGGATAGAGACCATGGGGGCCATTCATAGAATTCTACTACCATAAAGAGATAATTGTTTGTGGTGTAAGCTAGAAGAGATTTTGGAAGACTAGATTTTTTCTGAAGCAAAACTGACTAGTGCAACTGGTTACTTGAAATTTTGTTTGTGCACATGTGTTAATGTGCTATGGAAAAAGATACAAATCATAAAGGGCAGCTCAAAGAATTTTCACAAAATGAACACACCTGTATAATCACCCCCCAGATTAAACAAATAAGCAGAAACAAACAAATAAACAAAACCCAGAACATTATTAACACCACAGAAACCACTTTCCAGTCATTTCCCTTCCCCTAAAACAACCACCATCATATCTTCTAACAACATAGATTACTTTTGCCTCCTTTTGAAATCTTATAAACGGAAACTGGCTTCCTTCTCTTAATACCATATCTATGAGTTTCATTCTTTTTGTTGCTTGCAGTTTTAGTTCCCTTGTTGTATAATATTCTACTATATGGATATGTCACAATTTGTTTCGTCACTCTACCTTTACTGATAGGCATTTACTTAGTCTCCAGTTTTTGGTTATTACAAATAATGCTGCCCAAACTGTTTTTGTAAAGCATCTCTCCCTCTCTCCTCTCTCTCTTTTTCTCTTCCCTCCCTACCTCTCTCCCTCCCTTTTCCTTCTTTCTTTCTTCCTTCCCTTCTTTCCTTCTTTCTGCCTGCCTTCCTTCCTTCTCTCTTCTCTTCCTTCCTTCCTTTCTCTCTTTCTCTCTTTCAGATGCCTTCATATCCTAGATTTAACCTTCCTTTTTCTAAAAAAAAGGAGGGAACCCAATTTGGTTGTCAGTAACTTTCAAAATTAATCTTTAAGAAACCCTCTCTGAAAGATAATTTGGAAAATCACAATGAATAGATTCAGACCAACTAAGTAGGGAACTGAAGGAAGGCCAAAATCAAGATAGGATTTCACACCCTTGGTTTATCTCAGGGCAGAAACCGCTTAGGTAAGACCAAGGTCATTTCAACCATCACTCTGAGGAGCCATGCAGTGTTGTGGGAAACATCATAGGCCTCAGACACCGTTTAGGGCTCTGAATCTGGTTCCTTTTTCTAGCTGGAAATCTTGGCAAGCTGCTACTTCTCTGAACTTCATTTCCCTCACCTGTCATGGGGACAATGATCCGTTGAAATGTTTAGATCTCTTCCCATACTTCTACCGCTTATGCAAAAAACAACTGCACATTTGGCCCCAACCTCCCTCCACCATCAGTTCTCTGGCCTTCTCAGCCCTTCTGGTGCCCCAGAAAACTGACCCCTACAGACTGTACCACCTGGCTCCAGTATTATTTTGCTTCCAGTTGAGTTCAGCCAACAGGAGGCACTGGCAGGAGGTTGGAAAGAAGGAGGGGAGAGAGGTTGGGTAATTACCCTGCACACACACTGCTCCCTCCCTGCCTCACTGCTGTTCTGGGATGGCTGCATTCTAATAAGGCCACAGCTTTTCTATAGCTCTAGCTACTATCTGGCTCCAGCGACACCTTTGTCCCTCTTGCACTTTAAACCTAAAGGTGATCATGAGCTCACATTCATTGGTGCTCCACCATCCCTTGGTTTCTTAACCCAGTCCATCCTTCTGTAAATAGTCCCTTTATTATACTCTCCTCAGGCTTAAGCCCTTTCAGTGGATCTGCCTTTCCTGAGATGTCCCTGATAAGAGAGAAGGGAGCCCAATCAGATTTTCAAACACAATGGAGAATAGGAAACAAGATGAAGGTCAAAGAAAACCAGAGATTTACAGAATCAGGGAGATGAGATGGAGGAATGATGAGAAGGAAGAGTCATATGTGCAATTTCTGTGGTCTCTGCTAAGAACTTCACATGCATGGCATTTCAACTTCATAATATCTCTATGAGTCAGCATGATAACTACCTAATTTTAGAGGTGAGTAAACCATGAACTAGAGTGGTTAAGCAATTTCTTGAGGTCACTCTTTAGTGAGTGGCAGAGCTAAGATTTCAATCCAGGACCTTGTCTCCTAGCCCATGCTCTTAACCATATACTGAACTTACTCTCTTTGGCAGAAACATGAGCTGAAGTTTACTGCTGGCTTTACATACTTTCAAGACTCAGTGTGTGGCATGATTGGCTATCTTGAAGGGGCAGATATTTTGGAGATATTAAGCAAATTTATTTGAGTGTTGATGAGTGCAGAGTTGGAAGGCTGCACTGAGAGTAGTTGGCCTCTCTTCTCTGTGCCACTTCCTGCTCTCAAAGCTCTGACAAC